CATAACAAATTAGGGGAGAATCTGTATGAAAATAAAAACTTCAAGGGACAATTTGTTATGAAAATATAAATTTCAGGGAGCGGGATGTAATTTCTCAAACCTCAAGGAAGAATCTATATTTTTACCAAACCTCGAGGGGTGTTTGTAATTTGCCCAATTATTTTTGTGACTTCCAAATTGCCTCAAGAGACTTCTCCTACCTCTAAGCTGATAAAATAAAAATAAATAAAAAAGTTACTTACATATGTGACATGAAGTAATAGAATTTTAATATTTAAAATTAGACTCATTAAAATAATAAACAATTTATATGAATAATTATATGTATATAATCTATTAATTTATATAACATTATTCTGTTTTAAAACGTACTTTTAAACTTCAAGTATTTTGTTGGAACATTTACTGCTTGTAATTCTTAGATAAGATAATCAATTATTATTATTATTATTATTATTTTTGCATATCTACCACTCATTTATGAAATCAAACGTAGACTTTTTAGCAATTAACAATTTTGGAGACTTGGCGGTTGTTGTTGTGATCATGAAAATCGTTTTGATGTATACACAATTAACACGAGCCTGATGGGGCTGATGGGTCTAACTTGCAGACCCAACCTAGTCCAATTATGGCAGCTCAATACATGAGTTCACCTTTCACAATGTTAGCAGTTCATAGGGTAACGTCGACTACCAAATCGAACAACTTAGTGGTTTAACTTTAAAGTTGGATGTAGGTTCACTAGATGACTCCTATGACTAACATTCGACCGACACATGACGGTGGAGGAAAACGGGCAAAGGTTTAGGGTGGTCCTCTGCTTGTAACCACCTGCAGGTCGTGCACAAGTCCATTCCATGCTACAAATATGTTTTGAGCAAGGCTTAACATAATTATTTCTCCATTATGTGACTGAGATCTTGTAGAAGGTATGTTTTGTTTATATATAAGGGAGGTTTTCCTATAAACCCTAATTTTCATTGTCGTATCTCTTTAAACCTCTCTACTAATTTTACTGATGTAAGACCGTTGGAGAAAGGCACCCTTGGTGCACAAGGGTTTGTTTTCCACTAGTTGATGAAGACTCCAACTCATAGAGACGATTCCGTCTTACATCATCATCCAAAAGCTCGAACATGCCAGCATCAGTTCGATCACTTACACAATATTTACTTGTTAGTGTTGGAAAAAATGGTTGCAATGCTAATTTTTCGGAAACTTTATGCTAATAATTTTTTAGGATTCATAAGTCGGTTTGGAGGGTTCGAGTAGCAATGTGTTGCCGTGTAGTGAACAAGATTATGAAATTAGTGAGTCAAAACCACTTATAGGCGAATGGAAAATTGACTCCAAAATGAGGTTCATAAACATTAGTCATGTTGGTAAAAAATAAAAAAAAAAACTCAAAATGGTGTTGAGTGTTCTTGTCCCACATAGGAAAGTTAGGAAAAATTTGGTGAAGATATAACGTCCTAGATGGAACTTTGGGCATGGGCCCAAAGGACACCCAGAGTGTGAGTTGGGTTGGGTCGGCCCGATGCTATCTTCTTGGGCCAAAACTATTTGAAAGCATTTTCAATTGTTTGTTGGGAAACAAAAATTTTGAAATTCATATCCAAAATTTTGCAATGACTCAATAGATTTGAATTTTATATTCAAATTTCCAACAACCATGTTTCTTCCGAAAAGATTTTTCCATTGCATATATTAAACTACAAATTGAACCCAATGCAGCTCGCCATAAGTTTTGGAAAAAAAATCAGTAAAAGAAAATTCGGACTTTTGGTTTCTTCTGCCTCTGTTCATCCTGCATTTTTATATATAATATATATTTAGAGTTTAAGTTTGAGAGGGTGTAAAGCACATGCTCTAGTTGGCTGTACACATAAAATTAGTGCGAATTCTGTGTGTGGTGATTGTTGTATTTTTGAGACAGGATGCCTACTAATCTCGAGCACTAGTGGAGAGGGCATTATTCTATCTTAAAGATACAGTGTCCATACACTGCCCTCAATCACAACTTTGTTCAATAGTTTGATCTTCAAAAAATTGTAAGTTTGTTTTATTTTATTTGTGTGTGTCAATTTTCGACCACACTGCCAAACAGGTACTCAGTTGGAGAATACTGGTAGAATAGATTAAGCTCGAATGACCTGTCAAAAAAGAAAAGATTCTGGTGGTGGTTCGTCCACCCGGGGGCACTCCGACGATCAAGTCAGTTATCTCTCAAAGATAGCAAAAGTGCTTAACTCACTATTCAGAATATAAAAAGCGTACCTTAGACCCACGAGGGTGTCTCTCTTTTATAGCCAACATTGACCTAATCCTAATAGAAGCCTAACTTAAATGGTCTCTGGATTACTGCTAATCTTGGAGTCCCAGTAGGATTGAGATAAACTCTCTAAGAGTCTTATCTTTATCCAAACTGAAGTCCCCGTTTATTCTAGGATTCTTGTCTCTTATCGACTTATCCCAGATTCCAGTATCTTCGCAAATAATCTCGGCCTATCCGAGATCATCTCGGCGTCATGACCAGGGCACGTGCTACCTCGGCTAGCACTTCGGTGCCACCTTGGCCACGTGTTGTCACTCAAAAATTATGTCTCCACAACTGCCCCCTCGGTTCTATTACCTCGGCATCTTGAGATGATGAACCTATGTCGTTTCTTCCATTTAGCATGTCAGCTAAGCTTGCCTTGTCCTTCATTACCGAGGTCACCATTCATTGGCTCAATACCACCAAGAGTTTGTTCAAATTTCCCAGCCGAGATCGTCCCCCTAGCCAAGGTCCTGCTCTATTAAATCAAGAACTCCAAGAGTTTCAACACGCGTATGAGCTGTCACACATAATATTTCAATCGTTTCAGCCACGCGTCCTTTCCCCACTGGATCGTATTTGACACGCGCGATTAAGTCGCATCGCTCGTGCATTCGCCGTCTAACAAGCACATCGTCCTAGGCACCATAATTGCCATTTTGCCGCCATTTCGTGGTTTTGATCAAAATCACCTCTCTCTATCTCCGTCTTTTTACTTTTGCAAAATCACCTCTCTCTCTCCGTCTTTTCACTTTTGCATCTTTGTTCTCGTTCAAACTTTCTCTTTCAAATCCTCCATTGCTGCTTTTGTGAAGCTTTCTGCAACCAGTTTCACTCTCCCCCTCCGGCGAGGCTTTCGCTCCACTTCTTTGCTCACTGCCACCGTCTGACACCGGCGCATTTCACACCGACCTTTTCCTTCCTGGTAAGCCACTGCTCCTCTTATTTTAATTTTTTGTTTTACTCCAAAGAACTCCACTGTTGTATTCGCTGCCTTTGCATACTTGCTCATGTCTTTGATCGTTAATTTGTATCTTGAATTCCAGCATGTATTGAGCATGTTTGTTTCATGATTCTGTTTTTGCCCAATCCATTCTTGAGTATACACACATTGCTTACATATTTGTTAATTTTTGCCACTGTGTTCTTGATAGTTCATCACCATTCTTGATTCTGAATCACTGCTTTTGCTTTTGTTTTCTGTGTCTTTTTCCCAGATTCTTGCATTTAGTCCTTGTTTACGTAGACTTAGGTTTGGGATTTTGTTGTAGAACTCATGAATCTTTGGAAGAACTGAAACGAATTCTCCTTAGATCTTTTAGAAAAATTTGCCCCAACACACTTGCAGTTTTTAGCCGAGGTCCCTCAAACCCCTACAAAACACTTCCTTCTGAAATCCAATACTTTTCCCTTAAGCCGACATCATGGATATGTAGAGGTATAGGGTAAACACGCCAACCAAGTTAGAATATTTCAAGCAGGAGTTTTCCATCCCTGCCGACGTTCATCTTAGGTTGGTAGGGGAGGAGGACTCCATCATGTCTAACAAGAACTTCATGCCCTTCCCTGTCGTAGCCTTCACAGAGTGTGGACTCAGGTTTCCACTTGACATCCTTTTCCGAGAAGTCCTCCATTACTACAAATTGAACCCAATGCAGCTCGCCATCAACTCTTACCGAGTTATCAATGGCATAATAGCCTTAGCCAAAAAAGAGAACGCTAGGGTCACTCTTGTTGATATTCAGTACTGCTACACCATGTATGGCCTTAGTTTAGAAAAAGGCTATATCTACTACTTTAAGCCGAGGTCGACCCAATACAAACTCATCGCCGACCTCCTTGATTCCAACAAGGGTGTCGGGGACGATTATTTCATCGTCTTGGGCAACTGGGAGTTCGCTCTAGACAAGGACCTTCATCTCTACCCTCTTAGCCGTATATTATTCAAAGAGGGAGATGGTAAGAACCAAGTATTTACATTTACTTACTTTCAAGTCTTTAATACTTTGCTCCTTCTATATGTTCTGACGTCTGTTTTTTCTTGCAGTTCTTCCACAGCCACCCAAGGACTTTCACAAGTCCTTTTTTTCCAGCAAGGACCTCAAAAATTTGTTGGATCTGCCAGTTGAGCGGCAGAGAGCTCCTTTGCTGCTCAACTTCATCCCGACTTACAAGTCTGTGCTTCCCGACGTCCCAAAGAAGAAGAAAAGCAAGTCTCATTCTTCCGCCACAACTCCTCCAACGGCTTCATCACCTCAGCCAGATTAGGGATCAATCTCTGATCTAGCAGAGCAACCGTCGACCTCAGCTCCACAACTGATCCCTCAATCCCAACGTAAACGTCGACGTCGAAGTCGAACTACAATTACCGCCGAGATGGGTCGCAAGAAAGTTGTTGCAGACGACCTCCTTGCCGACATCCCAGACACTGTCACCATACAACCTTCTCCATCCCAATCTCAACCAAAACCAAAACCCAAAAGACTGAAGAAAGCCCAACCTAAGGCAATGGTTACTCATATCGACTCTGAGGATACCTTGCCGATCTCTAAAATTACCGAGGCAGAAAAGAGTGCCTCCACAGCCGAAACGAGGCCTGCCGAGGCCGCATCCTCTAAATCAACCAGGTCAAAGAGACCGAGGTTTGAGTCGGCAACAACCTCGGGCTCTTTGAAGTCCGATGCCCCCTAGGCCCCCCCCAATCGCAATCGAGGACAAGCCGGTCAGGGCTGATGACAGCACCGACGATATTGAAGTCAGTGTTGCCCTCTCTACCGCCTTGCTCCTTCCCGAAGATCTCAATCGTAACGCCAAGATGAGCGAATACGAAAATTTTGCTTTGATGTTGCAGCGCTCCGTATAGGTAAGCCCCCATCACTTAGTACTCTCTACTTCTGTCTTTTCGTATTTAGAGAATTTTTACTAACATTTGTTCTTTCTTTTTCTTCTAGGCGATCCAGCATAGCCACTCCTTCGCGATGCAAGCCTTTGCCATCAAGAGGGAGTTGGCCAATAAGACCAGGGAGGCTGCCAATTTGTCCAAGTCCCTTAGTAAGGCCAAGGGCAAAATAAAGGCCTTGGTAGATCGGGCTGAGGCAGCCAAGAAAGCTCAGGATGAGGCCGAGGAAAAGGCTGATGCGGCAGAGGCCATTGCCAAGGTCTTTGCGGCCGAAAAGAAAGAGGCCAAAGCAAAGATGGTCGAGGCCCAAAAAGAGCTTCAAGATGCCCTGGCCACAAAAGAGGCCGAGATAAAAGCGGCTGATGAGAAGGCGTACGCCGAGGGGGCAGCCGACGTCAATAAAGATTATAAGAAACAAGTGAAGCATGCATGCAACAAGGGCTATACCCTTGGTTGGATAGCTGCTCTGAAGGCGTTGGCTGTCCCCGAGGACTCGTCTCTCCGAGAAAATAGCTGCATTGTCCTGTCATTCCCCTTAACTCCAAGCCAATTCGAGGTCGAGGCTGAGTCCGAGGAGGAAGCTGAGGCCGAGAAGGAAAAAGAAGATGCTGAGGCTAAGTTCCCTACTTTGACTGAGCAAGTTGTGGACTTGTCTCAGGATGATGGGGATGAGGTCTCCAAAGATACAACCCTTGAGACGACAACATCTGACGCGCTTATCGCCGAGAAAAGTCTCGACCAGACTCTTAAAGATATCGACGTCGAGCTTGCTTCTGAGAAGGCCGCCGAGAAGAGTTCCCAAATGTCCTCTGAGCCCCAAACCCAACCAGCTAATGACGCCGAATAGACTAGTTTGATGTTTTTCTTTTCTTGTACCTTGTACTTTCTTTATTCTTACTTTTGAAACAATGTAAGCATTAATCTGGTCGACATGCCCCTTTTGTAGTCTGAACAATTACTCTTTAATGCCAGGCCAAAGTGCCTTCTTTCCTTATCTGAATGCATTCTTTATTTCTTCTTTCAGTGTGATTGAATGTTTGTCTTCCTTTTACTATCTTGTATGATTCTATACTTAGAATAATTTACATGTCTTTAACGTAAACCTTGACTGCGTAATCTTCTCGGTGTGGAATACTTCGACTATAATCGCTAACACACTATCTCGGCTTTAAACTTTTGGGCCAATTTTCTGGAAAACACTTAGAAACTCATAATACAACACGTTTTGAAGATCATTTAATAAAATCAAAGCCCAAAAGTAAACCAATTGAACACCAATTCAACTCAAAATTCAAGAACAAGATGTAAATATGCCATGCATGTGTTTATTTGAAATCAAAGCTTCTAACACATGATCAAATGAGCCAAGACTCCAAAAACATGATGAATTAACCGTACATTATTCAAAGAGGGAGATGGTAAGAACCAAGTATTACATTTACTTACTTTCAAGTCTTTAATACTTTGCTCCTTCTATATGTTCTGACGTCTGTTTTTTCTTGCAGTTCTTCCACAGCCACCCAAGGACTTTCGCAAGTCCTTCTTTTCCAGCAAAGACCTCAAAAATTTGTTGGATCTGCCAGTTGAGTGGTAGAGAGCTCCTTTGCCGCTCAACTTCATCCCGACTTACAAGTCTGTGCTTCTTGACGTCCCAAAGAAGAAGAAAAGCAAGTCTCCTTCTTCTGCCACAACTCCTCCAACAGCTTCATCACCTCAGCCAGATTAGGGATCAATCTCTGATCTAGCAGAGCAATCGTCGACCTCGGCTCCACAACTGATCCCTCAACCCCAACGTAAATGTCAACGTCGAAGTCGAACTGCAATTATTGCCGAGATGGGTCGCAAGAAAGCTGTTGCAGATGACCTCCTTGCCGACATCCCAGACACTGTCACCATACAACCTTCTCCACCCCAATCTCAACCAAAACCAAAACCCAAAAGACTAAAGAAGGCCCAACCTAAGGCAATGGTTACTCATATCAACTCTGAGGATACCTTGTCGATCTCTAAAATTACCGAGGCAGAAAAGAGTGCCTCCGCAGCTAAAAAGAAGCCTGCCGAGGCCGCATCCTCTGAATCAACTAGGTCAAAGAGACCGAGGTTTGAGTCGGCAACAACCTCGGGCTCTTTGAAGTCCGATGCCCCCTAGGCCCCCCCAATCACAATCGAGGACAAGCCGGTCAGGGCTGGTGACAGCACCGACGATATTGAAGTCGGCGTTGCCCTCTCTACCGCCTTGCTCCTTCCCGAAGATCTCAATCGTAACGTCAAGATGAGGGAATACGAAAATTTTGCTTTGATGTTGCAGCGATCCGTATAGGTAAGCCCCCGTCACTTAGTACTCTTTACTTCTGTCTTTTCATATTTAGAGAATTTTTACTAACATTTGTCCTTTCCTTTTCTTCTAGGCGATCCAGCATAGCCACTCCTTCGCGATACAAGCCTTTGCCATCAAGAAAGAGTTGGCCAACAAGACCAGGGAGGCTACCAATTTGTCCAAGTCCTCTAGCAAGGCCAAGGGCAAAATAAAGGCCTTGGTAGATCGGGCTGAGGCAGCCAAGAAAGCTCAGGATGAGGCCAACGAAAAGGCTGATGCGGCAGAGGCCATTACCAAGGTCTTTACGGCCGAAAAGAAAGAGGCCAAAGCAAAGATGGTCAAGGCCCAAAAAGAGCTTCATGATGCCCTGGCCACAAAAGAGGCCGAGATAAAAGCGGCTGATGAGAAGGCGTACGCCGAGGGAGCAGCCGACGTCAATAAAGATTACAAGAAACAAGTGAAGCATGCATGCAACAAGGGCTATACCCTTGGCTGGATGGCTGCTCCGTTGGATGGCTGCTTTGAAGGCGTTAGCTGTCCCCGAGGACTCGTCTCTCCGAGAAAACAGCTGCATTGTCCTGCCATTCCCCTCAACTCCAAGCCAATTCGAGGTCGAGGCTGAGTCCGAGGAAGAAGCTAAGGCCGAGAAGGAAAAAGAAGATGCTGGGGCTAAGTCCCCTACTCTGACTAAGCAAGTTGTGGACTTGTCTTAGGATGATGGGGATGAGGTCTCCAAAGATGCTACCCTTGAGACGACAACATCTGACGCGCCTATCGCCGAGAAAAGTCTCGACCAGACTTTTAAAGATATCGACGCTGAGCTTGCTTCTGAGAAGGCCGCCGAGAAGAGTTCCCAAATGTCCTCTGAGCCCCAAACCCAACCAGCTAATGACGCCGAATAGACTAGTTTGATGTTTTTCTTTTCTTGTACCTTGTACTTTTTTATTCTTACTCTTGAAACAATGTAAGCTTTAATCTGGTCGACGTGCCCCTTTTGTAGTCTGAACAATTACTCTTTAATGCCAGGCCAAAGTGCCTTCTTTCCTTATCTGAATGCATTCTCTAATTTCTTCTTTCAGTGTGATTGAATGTTTGTCTTCCTTTTACTTTCTTGTATGATTCTATACTTAGAATAATTTACATGTCTTTAACGTAAACCTTGACTGCGTAATCTTCTCGGTGTGGAATACTTCGGCTATAATCACTAACACACTATCTCGGCTTTGACCTAACACTTGAAAATATTTCTCATAATATTTTCACAAGTGTTATTCACAACTTGCCACTTCACTCTTTACTTATCAGGACTTTTGTCTTCCAATATCTTCCAAGTCGTGGCAAAATGGTAATCTCGGCAAGTACGTAAGTGTTTCTCTCAACACAGCCTTGGCTTAACTTGTAAATTTTTCTTTAAAATTTCAACAAGTGTTAACTTTAGCTTGTAGATTACAACTCCCAAGCATCATTCGCCAGCTCTCTACCCCTAATGTGAACCTAAGTTGTACTTGGGTTCTCATTAAGCATGTGACTTCAACCTTGCCGCCGAGGTCAGATTCAAACAAAGAGTGGCCGAGGTTACCAACCTTGGTCTCTTTGTTAATCTGATTGACATGTGCTTAGTTCCAATCTATGTTTGACTCTGCCGACATGGCAAGTTCAAGTAGATTCAACTTAGTTCAACTCTATTATATGCAAGTGGGAACGCTGCCATATAATAAGTCTAAGTTATTCTTCATGTTTCAATCAGAAACATCACCAACTTAGTTCAACTCTATTATATGCAAGTAGAAACACTGCCATATAATAAGTCTAAGTTATTCGTCATGTTTCAATTAGAAACATCACCAACTTAGTTCAACTCTATTATATGCAAGTGGGAACTCTGCCATATAATAAGTCTAAATTATTCGTCATGTTTCAATCAGAAACATCGCCAACTTAGTTCAACTCTATTATATGCAAGTAGAAACTCTGCCATATAATAAGTCTAAGTTATTCGTTGTGTTTCAATTAGAAACATCGCCAACTTAGTTCAACTCTATTATATGCAAGTGGAAACTCTGCCATATAATAAGTCTAAGTTATTCATCATGTTTCAATCAGAAACATCGCCAAGTGACTGATCAATCATACCACACAAGTTAAAAAAAATCAAACAAAATTTTTATTAATTACTTCAGCTAAAGAACTTTAAAAACAAAAGGAAATTTTTAATGATAGAAAAACTTCAAGTTGCAAGTGTTCCAAGGTCTTGGAAACTTTTTGCCTTCACTGTCTTCAAGCCGATATGCCCCATTGCCAAGGACCGAGGTGATTCTATAAGGTCCTTCCCAATTTGGGCCAAACTTGCCCTCTCTTGGATCCTTCTTGTTGCTGACGGTTTTTCTTAGAACGAGGTTCCCAACCTAGAACTCTCGTGGGTTAACCTTTTTGTTGTAAGCCTTGGCAAGCTGCTACTGGTATGCCCCTAGCTGAATTGTTGTTTTCTCCCTTCTTTCTTCTAGCAGATCCGGATCTCGGGCTAAGAATGCATCATTGGTTCCATTTTCTAATCCCTGAGTTCTAATCCCAAGGATGCCAACCTCCAGTGGGATTACTACCTCTGTGCCAAAAGCCATGGAAAATGGGGATTCCCTAGTTGATCTTCTCGGCGTTGTCCGATATGCCCAAAGTACACTGAGCAACTCATCCACGCACCTTCCCTTAGCTGTTTCCAGTCTTTTCTTGATCTCATCCAAGATGACCTTATTGGATGCTTCTGCTTGAGCATTGCTTTGAGGGAAACTTGGAGTAGAGTAATAATTCTTGATCTTGTACTTTGCACAGAAGCTCTTGATTAGTTTACTGTCGAACTGTGTACCATTGTCTGCTATTCTTGCCCTTGGGATCCCAAACCTGATGACGATGTTCTTCCAAATGAAGCTCTTCACATCAACAACTCGAATCTTTGCGAGGGGTTCAGCTTCCACCTATTTGGTGAAGTAATTTGTTGCCACTAGCAGTGTCACAACCCAAACCCGCCCCTATGGATTTAGCATCGCAACTGGCCAGTAATCGGTGATTACCAAAGGCTTACTTAACAGAAATGACAGTAATACAGAGTAATAAAAAGATGTCCAATGAGCTGTGACATTCTGTATGCAAAAAGACTTTTCTGAACATATTCACAGACATAACCAAAACATATTTACATAACGAGTGCACATAACATTCAAGTTAGGGATCGAGTCCCTCCAACATAACTGTACAGTCAAGTCTAAAACATTAATTAGGAACAGAGACAGAAGGGTGAAATCGAGACACCCCAAAAATAGCCTTGGCTTGACAGATTTGGAACCTTGAAGTGAGGCACAGTAGTTGGCTTGACAAAACAAAAGCTAACCTGACGCTCCTAGCTCTGGTCCGGTGCCTGGACACCTACATATAAATATAAACAGTGAGCTAAAGCCCAGTGAATAACAGCTGTGTAAAGAGATTAAGAATGAATGCCCTTTCAGTAATTAAACAGTCATATCAGTCATTTAGAAAAC